TGTTGATGAGGTGCCCATACATTAGTTTTCAAAAGCCAAAAAAAGTATTTCTTTCGTCTTGTAAAACAAGGTTCGCTATCTTTACTAGCTACCAGGATGTTCCACTCGAGTAATTTATTTTCTACTGATGCCCTTCTAAACAAAACATAAGAGGAATCATACTAAGAATTTCTCGTACCATAGCTTGCTTTTGGTGAACAATGTTGAGAAGATATGGGTATTTGCAATTTGAGAGATGTCTGCCAACCAAGTATCTTCTCATAACCTAATCATCACCCAACTTAACTTTCCTAAGCTTAAGAGTTGATCCTTCGACCTCATCAGACTCATGCAAAAATGAGAATCACCAGCCTTTTATGTAATGGCCCTGTTCGGCTTACCCCATATTCGACTTGTTCGGCTTGTTTTTTCAGCCGAAACAGTGTTTTTCTCTCACAACAATTCAGCCGGAACAGTGTTTTTCAGCCAGTTTCAACCAAGATTCAGACCAGCGAACGGGGCCAATATGTGATATAGTTTTACCTTTAACATATTTATTCTTAAGCAACTCTTGCCATAAACCATCTTCATTGAAAATTTTAAACAACCATTTACTCAATAACCACTTGTTTTGTATGTGTCTAGGTTTTGGATGCCTAAACCTCTGTGCTCCTTAATTAGGTTAGCAAGACCATTTTTCCAATCTATTTTTTTTTGTTGATCGTACTGTCAAAAAAATCTCAATCTGTAGTACTCAATTTTCATAAGAGTACCTCTAGGTATATAAAAAGAACGTAAACATTGGTAAACTGGACAAAGCATAATTAATTAACACTAGTCTTTCTCCATAGAGAGCATTTTTTTTCTTTCCAACCGGACAACCTCTTTTCAATTATCTCTTCAATTCATTTCTAGTCTTTGTTATTAAGTTCCCTATAGTGCATAGGTAAACTCAGGTACCTAAAGGGGTATGTGCCTAATTTGCACCCAAATAATTGTGAGTATTGCAGTCCACATTCTTTAGCAGGCTCAAAATAGAAGATTTCACTCTTGTGGAAGTTTACTTTCAAACCTGAGAAAATTGCTCAAAGGTGCAAAGTAATTACTTCATACTCATTGCTAGGCCAATGTCATGGTCTTTTAAAAAAAAGCAATGTGTCATCCACATATTGCAGAATAGATAAGTCATCTTCTACTAAGTGTGAGACAACAGCCTTGATCTGCCCATTTTCTTTGGTCCTGGCAATTATAACTGCTGACATATCCACTACGATACTGAATAAAATTAGGAATGGTGGATCACCTTGCCTTAGCCTTTTTTTTTTGGTTTGGAAATTAGGGTCATATTGGTTATTCCTACATTAGCTCCCCCAACAAAAGTCTGGACCCAACTACACCATGTTTGTGAAAAACCTTTCATTCTTAAAGATTGTCGGAAGAAATCTCATTTAACTTTATCATATGTCTTCTCAGCATCAATCCATCTTGTTTTTTTCCTGTGGATCTCATGTCGGAGGAAACCTTCCATAATATGTCTACTTGTAAGGAAAGCTGTCTAAGATGGTCTAATTATTTCCAGTGCAACTAAAGTAATTAGATTATAGGCTACTTTTGTAAAAGTTTTGAAACTCACATTTAGCAAATAGATTGGTATTGTTGTATTTGCTTGGCCTCACTGTTTTTTGGCAGCAAAATGATGCATCCAAAATTTATACTTTAAAGAAGGAGACATCCATTGTGGAAGTCTTCAAACAAAGCCATTACATCCCCTTTGATTACATTCCAAAAAAGAAGATTTGGAACTGAGTTATGTTTCATTTGGAAAACTGCCTTCCTCACTTTAGACTTAAGAAACTTTGCACTAGGATTTCATTTTCCTCAACATAAACCTAGGGGTTGTCCCCTCTTTTGGATTTATCCATTGACACAAAAGATATCTCTAATGGCCCAAAAAAGTTTTTTAGTATTTAATGATATATTTGTTTTAATTCAACATCACAATTAATCACACCCTCGTCTCGTTCTAGTTGAAAAAATCCTTGTTTTCTTATTTTTTCCATTACCTACTCACTGAAAATGCTTTGTGTTTGAGTCACCCTCTAACAAGGTCTTTACTTTTGCCCATTAGTACCATTTGAGTTACTCCTCTCTTAGAAAAGTTACTAGTCATTCGTGTAAACAGTGTGTTTAAATTTAGACCATTAGAGGATAAACATACATCTTCAGCCCTTTTATCTAACTAATCTAGTTTATCTAACAACCTTTTATTTTACTTTTTATATGCTCCACTAACATGTTTAACCTATCCCCCTAGATGTTGATGAAGGCATTTCGTCATTTTTACTTGCCAATGTTTTAAGGGAGTACACCATCTGCTATGCCCGGTTTTACACAGTTCCAGCAGCTTCAAGTGCTGTTTGGAACTTTTTGTTTTACTAAACGGGTTAAAATGGAACGGCCCCTCAAGTGAAGCTCCTTAAAACCCGCTCTCACAGGATAGGTGCTGAATGGAACTAAAAATACTAACTTCTCCTAGCTTCTCAAGTAAACTTTTTTTCATTTTTTTTTTTCTCCACGAGTGAAGTTGCTCATGGAGTCTAAGCATAAAAAAGATACTCCACCACTGAAGCAGAGTTATACCAAATGGGGCATTACTCTTATCCGAACTTCCTTGACCATCTCAAAGAAACCATCACATAGTAGTCATCAAACACAAATTTAAAAGAGTTTGAGTTTCTATTATTTAAATGTATCTCCTAAATACTCCCTCTGTCCCCAAATAAATCAATTCTTAGAATCTATGCCAACTAACTTTATAAAAACTAGTAACAACATATATGACATAAAATGAACACCTTATGAAAATATATTCTATGGTAAATCTAATGATACTAATTTCATACCATAAATCTTAATATTTTTTTAGAAATTCAGTCAAAATTTAAAATGTTTGAGAACTCTAGGAATCTATTTATTCAAAAATAGAGGGAGTATAAAAACATCAAAAAAAAAACTATGCACCCTACGCTAGCCCATTGCTTACACTCGCTTTGCCGCTCCTCCACCTAGTCGCGCTGCCACCGAACCACACCGAGCCGCTACTGTTCCATGCCACGCTGCTTGTCTGCCAGCACGCGCCTCGCACGCGCGACCACATGCTGGCAGCCCTGTGTAGGCTCAGCCCCTTTCCGATGACCCATGGGCCATGGATTGATGAGGAACAAGGTCTATTTGTGAAGGCCCACGGTCAAGTTAGGCAATGGCCGTCCCGAGAGCAAGGAAGCCGGAGGAAGCAGAAAATGACAAAGGGGGAAGGGAAGAGGGGGCAATTTAGTTCTTTCTTGTACCCGCTTGCAGCAGAAGTTGGCGAGTCACGTAATCAAAAGTGGCAATAACTTAGCAACGTCTTTTTTCATGTGGTAGTTTTGTAAGGCCAATCTTAGCAAAGAGTTTTATTGTATTATTTTCTAGACTGTCATGTTATATAGAATAAAATAAAACTTGTACCAAACACCCACTCTCGATACAAAGTTTTGTTCCATAGTTTGATAAACATTGAATTCTAAGACTCATAAAGAGTTGGTAATCGTGCTAAGAGAATTTCGTCCCCATAAAACTCATTTCTTCTCTCGATCTCTTCATTAATACTTTACCAGCAAAAATAATATGTGACAAGCTATTTAATGCAAATCAAACTCTCATGAAACTTCCCCGAGACTGGCCTAAGTGTCAATCTAAAAAATAAAAGAGTGTCATCCAAAATAATGACAAACAGTTAAATATTTTAGGTGAGGAGTCAACACGCCCGGTTGAGCCTTTACATTAAATTACTACACACAATATAGTTCAACATTCTCGCACACTCATTTAATAAAAAGTCCGCTTTGCAATCTTGCTTAACAGGGTTTTCAGTTTCAGTAACAATCACAAAATTTGGCCAAAATTTTGCTATTTTTTTGGAGACTTAAAAGATGAAGTATGATTTGATCTAAACAAAATATTAGCATGATGTAAGACTATACATCTATTGAGTAAAAAATTATGCAACATAAACAATAGAAAAAAAAGAATCTAGAGTTATATATTTATAATAAAACACATGTATTAGTGTAATACGAATATTAAAAATTTTGTTTCGATCACCCTTGAAATTACAAAAATTCGTGAAATTTTATGAAAATTTTATCGAAATTTTGAACCCCGCTGCTTATAATATGGTTGTTTTCAAAAAAGACCCCATGTTGGAAAATTTAAACACTACACATGCAATCCAATTGTTTAAACAATACGCCCTCTCTCCCAAATAAGTGTCATTGTCATTTCTCGACGAGTAAAACATTTTTAACTTTGACCAAATATATATACAAAAAAATATTAATATTTATAGTGCATAATTAGTATCATTAGATACATCGTTTCATCTATTTTTGTAATAAACTTATTTGAGATACAAATGTTGCTGATATTTTTTACAAACCTAGTTAAACTAAAGAAAATTTGACCGGTACGATTATTTTGGGACAGCAGGAGTACAGTCTACACATGGTATTTAAGAATGGTATATATTATTAGCGCTAACCATGCTGAAGGTAAAATTGGTTGAGACAATTTCGTTGCACACGTGGAGTTTTACGCTCGTACAAACATACTCCTTCCAATCCATATGTTGCAAGATATTTTGACTTTTTTTATACATAATTTTAGACGTACACTGTTTACGATCACGATGCAACTCAACCACGCGATCTCTAGTTTGGTTATCCACGCAACACATAATATTAGTTTTTTCCCTTTTGGTTCCATTTTACACTTTTGGTGCTGAAAATATGGGCGGGAAGGCGATTAGGCGAAGGCTAATCAAAACTGATTAACCGGGAAATCAAAACCATTTTTTCCGCGTCGAGGAAAAGGAAAAACTGATTTCCTAACGTGGGGGGAAGAAAGCAGCATAGAAAACCGCAGTCGCATTTGCAAACTCGCAATACCCTCCTCATTCCTCGCCGCTCTGCTCCAACGAGGACATGGCCTCAACCGCCAAGGGTCGCGCCGGCGGCGCCCCCACCGCCGGCCTCACCGAGGAAGACAAGGCAGAGTGGTGGCTGCGCTTCAATAACGGCGTCCCCGTTGATGACGGCGACGACAGTGAGAGGAGGAGGAGAGAGGGTGCGGAGCGGAGGGCAACGTACGCTGTGGCCGGGTGCGAGGAGGTGGAAATGCAGATGGGGCCAGGCGACGGGAGGGCGGAGACCGTGGCGAGGGGCGTGAAGGCGGAGATGGTCGCGCGCGGCGGCGGGAAGGCGGAGACGGAAGCCTCGGGCGTCGGCGGCAAGAGGCGGAGTAGCCCGCGTTTCGCTGATCCTGCCGCCCTCGATGGTAATTGCGAGACCTACTTCGCGGAATTAATTCACATCCCAGTAATTTACTTGCTACTTGTCGTCGAGCTTGGGGTTTGATTTTTTTAACGGGTTTGCTATTTTTGTCGTCTCATAATTTCAATTTTCATCCAAAAAGTTGAGATCGGCACAAATGTATTTTCATCGCAAGTACGTAGGTGCGTCATCGATTGGCGAAAACGAAATGTGCCCAACGAAAGGGGATTTTTGGGAGCAGAGCGATGAGCAATCCCGACAGTAAAACTTGTGTAGGGTTTTCTCGGCAAGGGAACTGCTGAACTTTCCAAGCATGTTCGTGAAAAAAAAAAGGAACTACTGAACTGCCGCGGCCCACGGCTATTAACTTACGGAAAATATTCTGCAAAGGCGCATTTTCATGAAGGACTGCATCCTTCAACTGCACTAAGTTATCGTGCACTGCCATTTTTGCTTTCGTGTTGGTTTGCGAGACATGGATAATGGATGAATGTGACATCCACTGTTATGTTTTGTACAGTAGAGCAGGGGAGAAATTTTCCACTTTGTTTTCTTCCCTTGCATTTTGATTGATTATGTTCAAATGCAGAGGAGATTTCAGGAGGCAACTCGCTCCAGCCTGCGGAGCTACCATGGAGGAGGAGGAAGGCAGTCGCCAAGCGTACCAAGACTGAATGTTGATGGAACTGAGGTCCAGAACAACATGAGCCAAGGTATGAAGAAATCACATCACCTGTTTGTCAAATAGCAAGGAGGGTGAACCTTCTGAAATGCAGTTTGTGAGATTTGTCTATGCTCAGCTCAGAGTCCCCCTCCGGTGCTTAAGGGCCCTGAACGGGTCTATCAGGAGAATGAGAATCTGAAGTTGCAGCTCACTTTGAAGACAACAGAGCTCAAACAGGAAGAGATCCGTAGGCTCCAGTTAGAGTTGATTATAAAGTCTAAGGAGACTGAGTCCCTGCAGAAGCAGATTGAAGATCTGAAAGCTGAGAATGAGCAGCTCAGAAAGAATGTAAGCTTCCTACGCGATTCTGTTTAATCACTCTGTCTTGGTTATTAGCATCACTGGAAAACTAGCCATGCATGCCAGTGTTAGTAGGAAAAGACTCATTTTGTTCTCCTGGTCAAGCCAATGATGATCCATTAATCAATTTATTCTTGTAGTATTTATCTCAACTGAATAACTCATAACAAATGAGCTGTGGATTGAGAACACAAAAACGTTGCAGAGGATGAAGATTGTTTCTGTCATCAGTCATCAGTCTGAATTTCTGATTGTCCTATCCCAAAATTTGGATGTCATTAGCTGATTAGCTCCTACTTGTAACAGAAGAAACTGGACCTGCGAGAGTATGACCACCCCCAGACATTGCATTAAGAAGAAGACCTTCTCACGCAGGCCCAGAAAACCCCCGAACCCCTGCCCCACCCTTACACAGCGGCACCGTCGCCCTGTGAGAACGGGCCGGTCCTTAGACCTGTGCTTTGGCGTGGAACAGACGAGGAGATTTTTTTAACCCCAGCCTGAAATTCGCTCCCACGGGGAGTTGAACCCAGAACCTGAGGAGTGCCGCCGGGACGCTCTAACCAGTTGGACTAGAGGCCCTTTGGCTTGTAACAGAAGAAACACAGGCTATACATTTTCGCTATATTTTCTTCTGCATTGAACCTCCTTTGTGTTGTCTTTCAGCTCAAAGTCAGTTACATCTATGTGCTTATTGGACCTTTTATTTTTTGTGCGTGTACACTGCAGGCAAAGCCACCAAAAGTCGAAAGGAAATGCCGATCCTGTAATGCATATGTCATGCATGACTACCGCAACTGTCCTAACCGTCTGTTTGGTTTGAGGGACGGAGTGGGATGGGAATGGGACGAGCCCACTTTTGACATGTTTGGTTGGGAGTCGAAGAAGAACCGGGACATCCTACTAAAGAATATACCTGGCATATTCGCACAAACCGGGGGCGAGCTCACCCCAGAAAAAAGCGCGGACGGGGGCGTCCTACTGCGATGGCGTGAGCATCGTCTTCATCCTGCAACGATTTCTCTCTCCTCTGATGTCATTCTTCCTTCTCCGGCGCCGGTCAAGCGAAGCCGAGCAGTGAGATCCGCGCGCCGGCCATCCGCCGCTACCGAGATCCAGCGTGGGCGAGCTCCGCCCCAGCACGGCGCGGCCCCAACTTGAGGACCTCCTGCGCGACGCGACGCCCGGCGTGGCCCCAGAGCTTCGCGGATCCGGCCGTCTTCTTCCTCGTGAGATCTAGCTGCCTCGTCTTCCCCGCGCTTGAGCTCGCAGCTGCCTTTTCCGGGTGGCGCGGCGGGTTGGGAAAGGGCCGCGCGGCGCCTGCGACCGAGCTCCGGGCTGCTGCTGTGCCGAGATCCAGGTGGCGCGGTGCAGCTGAACTACGGGCAGCGACCTTCGAACAACGAGCAGCGAGCTCCGAACTACGAGCACGAGCAGCGACCTCCGCAGCCGAACTACGACCAGCAGCACCAGGCACGGTGGTGATTTATTATGTATAATAAAAGAGGAGAAATGAGACTGACATATATATAGTAAAAGGAAAAAAAGATTTACACATGGTCCTGGTGGGTCCCACTACAACAGTAGCTAACGGCGTCAAATTTCTCATCCATCCTATTCCTATTTATCCTTTCAACCAAACACAAAATGGATCCATCCCGTCCCTTCTCAACCAAACAGAAAATAGAGTGGTCCTGTCTCCATCCCGCCCCAGAAAACAGAGATGGGACCATTCCACCCCACCTTGACTCCCAACCAAACGCTACCTAAGAGGCGACTAGCTGCTTCTTCCCCTGAAGAATCAGATGGAGAAGACTCTTCCCCTGAGGAAGAGGATGGAGAGGACTCTTACTAACACTGCAAGGCTGCGTCCTGTTTGTCACATCCCTTTTGCGCGATTGCATCGATGCATGGATCTGTTGACACCTAGGAGTTCGCAAAGTTCTGTTCCATCTTTTTAAGGTTGTCACTCTAGTGTCAGGTAGCAGTATAACTAGTGGTCTACTGGATTTAGTGCAGAACACATAGATGTGTGCGTCTAATCGGTCTCCCTTTAACTTATGTGATGTTTATAGTTATCTGGATGTTTATGGTTAGCTTATGTGATGTTTATGTTAGGTGTTAGCTTATGTGATGTTTATGGTTATCTGGATGAGGAGTTTCCTGCAACTGTTACTCCCTGAACTTCCTGGTTTACACGTTCAGTCGTCAGTGAACTGAGGTTTAGTTAACAGAAAGTAATATTCTTCTGCATGATGTGTCAGAAATACCTGCATGTGAATCATCTGATTGCAATTGCAGTTGTCTAATTGGCTAGCAAGTTGTGCTTTCATGCAGAAAGACCTGTGGTCGTGTGAAATTGCTTGCACCCACGTATTTTTCCAACAAATTTCAGATCCTGAAATAATTAATTAAATAGCCCTTAAGGCATGGATCACTGATGTAAAAAAAAATATCATTTAAACAAAGAAATGTCACATCACACATCATGCAGAATGTGTGAATGACACGGTAACATACACGCTATATATGGCTACGTGATTAAGAATTTGGGAGCAAAGGCACACCCCCACTCAACCACAGTACGCTACACACCTGGAACTTCAGCAACCAAAAAGCATTCAGATCCACACTACACCATTGAAACTCCCATGTCAAGTAATGACATACCAATGGCTGATGCCGATGCAGGCAACCCGAGCGAGCTCCTCGTGTGGCCGTGGACTGGCATCATCGCTACGATCACCGCCGACGGCAACGCCACGAGCACCCTGGCCTCACACGCGCAACAGCACTTCGCTGGCGTCCCAACCACCATGCTCCAAGAGGAGGCGGCGGTCAGGGCCAACCACCGCTGCCACTTCTTGCTGCTCCACTTTGGCAAGAGCTGGTCCGGCCTCAGGGACGCCATGTCGCTCACCTTCCACTTCGCCCGCGCCGGGAGGAGCGAGTGGCAGCGGCAACGCGTTGACGACGACGGCGATCGTGTGTTCGGCTGGGTGGCCGGGGAGGAGGACCTGCTTGGCAGTGGCGCGGTCGGGAGGTTCCTGAGGGAGTCCGGCGCCAAGGCAAGGAGCGTGGAGGACGTGCAGAAGGACAAGGCGAGGCACGCCGACGCGCTGGGCGCCGTGCATGACGAGTACGAGAGGAGGGAGAAGTTCTTGAAAGCCCAGAGCGAGGAGATGGCCAGGTTGCTCCAAACGATGGAGCAGGAGAACAGCTGGCTCCTTGGTGAGCTCAAAGGTTAATCCACCGACTCGTTTAGGCTAACTGCATGGAATTATGATAGGTTTTTCTTTCATCAGAATCCGATGACGCAATGCTCCTGTGTTTGTCAATCAACAGAGGTACAAGACGTAGCTGACAATAAACTGCCAGAGCTGAGCCGTGGCGTCGATGATGAGGAGAACGAGATGCTCAGGGCAGAGCTGGATGCAATCAAGGGAGAGATCCAGTTGAGAGTGGACAGGATCCAGGAGTTGAAGGAATGCAGAACCGAACTGCATTGCAGCAAAGTGGAGAAGGTATGCTCGGCTACTCGTGGTTCTATCTAGATTTCAAAGTTCTGAATGGATGCTGTCTGCACTCTGACCGACTCCGTGCTGTAACGATGAATGCTGTCAAGTGTTGTTCAGATTTTCTGTCAAGCCACATAGCATTTGTATTAGTACCCTCATCACATCACAAATCAGTCTCGTAGTTGGTTCCTTTTTTCTGTTCTTTATCCGTCTTCTTGGACAACATTTTAGCTTATGTTGTTTTCTGATATGATGATTCAATCAGCTTGTCATCGAGATCAATTCATTGGAAATGGAAGATAGAGAGGCCAAGGCAAGGGACCATGTTCAAATGCTTCATGAAAAACATAAGGTTCCTACCTACCTATTTGGACATAACAGTTAGCAAGATCATTTGCATCATCTGTTTCACATGTGACCAATCAATTCATACAAATGCACTTGCACACATGCTGTTTAGGAAGAGATGGAAGCAATAAACGCAAAAGTAGATCAACTTGAGAAGCAGCTGGAGCAGAAGGAAGCACAAGTGTCCAGTGGACTGCAAGTGTCTGCAATGTCTCTGTTGGACATGAAACTAAAGACAGGAGAAAATCTCAGGAAGGAAGAATGCCAACATCTTTATAAATTAATGACGATTTGGAAAGAGTGTCAAGAGCAAGAACGTCAAAGGTATCAAAATGCACATGTTGACCTAACAAAGCGAGATAGGCTGAACAGAGATGAGCTTCAAGAGACCCGCCAAGAACTGATTAAGGTAAACTGCCTTTCTTTGACAAATTTTCAGTTCCATTTGTATTAGTCATTTAGTCCTGCTATTATTCATGAAAAGTTTCCTCTGCCGGATGATCACTATGCTCAGTGTTTGGAGAGCCTGATGATCGGCGGTTGCACGGCCATAGGGATCAAAAGGATGGGACAGCTTGATGAAGAACCATTCTACCATGCATGCAAGAGCAAGTACAGGGATGACGACCCAGAGGGCAAAGCTGCAAGGTTGGTCTCCATTTGGCAGGAGGAGCTGAAGAACGCATTCTGGAATCCGTTTACAGCTATTTTGGTCGATGGAGAAGAGAAGGTATTTGTCGAAGTTTGCATTGTCTCAATGTTGTTGTAAGAGAGCGGTTAAAGGTTTTGCCTTCTGATGATTTCAGGACGTTGTTGATGAAGATGATTCAAAACTGAGGCAGCTGTGGACTGAGTACGGTGACCATACCTGCAACGCAGTGAAGAACGCCCTGAGAGAGCTCCATGAGTACAATCCTAAAGGACGGCAAGCCGTGAGTGAACTCTGGAACTTTAGGGAAGGGCGCAAGGCTACAGTGGCAGAGGTGTTGAAGTATATTTTTGAGCAGCTGAAGATGAGGAAATAGTCTCATGGACATACACACGTCATAACATTGTAGAAAACAACATTATGCTACTTCCGTCCTGAAGTGAAACATTCAGACAAATCTGTATAGCCGTACCCTAACCATGTGCAGTTTGAGTAGTTTACACTAGCTAACTTTTCTAGTCCAGCGTTAAGCCTGGCTGTAGTTTACGCTAGCTAACTTTTCTAGTCCAGCGTTAAGCCTGGTTTAGTTCCTCCCCTAAAATTTAATTCCTATCACATCGTATATTTAAACACATGCATGGAGTATTAAATATAAACTAAAAAAATAACTAATTACACAGATTGCGATTACTTTGCTACACAAATTTTTTAAGCTTAATTAGTTCATGATTTGACAATGTGATGCTACAGTAAACATGTGCTGATGATGGATCAATTAGGCTTAATAAATTCGTCTCGCGGATTACCGAGGACTTTTGTAATTTGTTTTATTATTACTATCCGAGCACTCCGATGTGACACCCCTTTAGCCCCTAGATTTAAACACCACCTTAGTAGTTTTCTTATAAAGGAGATTTCTGCACGAAACAAACATTCCAAAAGATAGACCCATGCCATAACTTGATTCACTACGGACCTAATAAGTGGCAACATTGTGGGTCTTTAGAACAATTGACTCTCTCCTTTATATGTGCTACAGTTATTATGTCGTGCTTAGCAGTTAATCCCTTGACTCCTTAAACATACAGTGACAAGAGTCATATACAGTGATTGCTTAAGCATCAGCTATATAAATATGAAGGAAACAAAACCATAGACACAAATGGATACAATTTAGCAGTCGATATCAAGTGACGGTAGCTGACAATATCATGCAGTGATCAGGAGAATAAATTCCAAATGCAGAATTACATCCCTGACATCATGGATCAGCCATTGGCAATAGAAGTGGAACCAGGGATATAAAATGGATTCAGAGTTAGCATTCAAAAATCAAAATTACTTCTGTATTTATTTGTTTTTGATTTACTTGTATCATTTCCATCATCAACTTCTGTAACATTTACATCCTTTGACTATCCAAAGTTGCAGAAAAACATAGACATTCTGTTATCAAGGCCAAAGTGTTAGGAAAGAATGAAGAGGAATGCTAACCTAGAAAAAATAGAATCACAGGAGTTAGCATACATGGCTTAATGCTTAGCTTGGGTCTTGTATAACCAGCCATCTTCAGTATATTTGATTTAACAATTTTACTTAACTAAGGCAAGTCCTAATTCCTAATGTGCTTGCAATGGTTGCCCCCATCTCCCTCTAGCTATCTGGAGCAACAATCTAGATATGTACACACAGTCCATCTATTATTCCAATTTTTGTTCTTTATTTTTGACAAATGAAGAGATTCATCATGACTATCTTCTCTATTTTATGCTTGACACCTTTTTATCTTTCTTGACAGTAAAAGGCAAGTGTTCAGTTTCCACAAACTCCTCAAGTTGTCCATCTTTTAAACCATCAACTGACATTCATAATACACAGCATGCACAAGAAGAAAATACCATAGAAGCCGCAAAAGCATTACCAGAGAATCATAATGAAAATATAGGCTTCTAATTATATATTCCACAGATATGCTGGCATTAATTCCCTGTTAGAAAATACAGACATTCACTATTAACTGCAAAGGCCGACACAAAGATTTTTAATTGCTTCCGTGCTGTTTGGATTGCTGAGAACATATGTTGCGGTCTTTCCAGTGCTTTCACATGTCAGATTTAGTTGATTTCCGAGCTGTGAAGACTGCAGAAGAAGCTTATATTAGTAAACTTACAACAAGGATGCAAACAAAAAATGAAACAAGAGTTTAAGCACTAATGGCTGCAACAATAACATGCATATTTAAAGTAAATAATCTCCATATGAAAGTTCTCATTACGCTTATAGGAAAGCAAGCTCAAAACTGCTGCTAACAGCAAATTAGCTGAAAACCAATCAAGGCAAGATTGCCATTGAATTTCTGATGATGCTCGTGATTTTATCTAACATATTTTTAAAAAGTACAAAAATGCTCAAGAGTTGGCTTGGCATTCATCCAAACCCTGTGTTAATATACTCATTATGATTTTCTATCAACACAATTTATCCTGACTAACAGGTTAAAAATATACGAACTGGTGATTACCACAACAGAGCCATTTAGTACATTTAGTAAGAATCATAACTACAAAAGAAACTTACCATGCAATAGTTATTTGGTGCATTGCAACTCCACTTTGAAGTAGGCACACAGCTCAAATAATGGCACCAAGAACAGTGCTCACTAGCATTGAACCCTTGAAATAGCAACACCAATCCAACGGTGAACCTGCCAACAACAAAGTTTAGCTAAAAGAGTTGAACTGTAGTGGTTGATTAGATCATTACCATTCATCTCATTGTCAAGATATTTACCCAGAAACTAGCATCACTGTAGCAATAACCAAAAGTATGATTTGATATGTCTTGAACTTCCGTTTAGTTACGCCCGTGGGAAATCCAAGAGGAGAGTTCTTTTGGTTAATATATCCGAACTGTGGTCGTATTAGCAGCACAAAACCAAGACAGAACCCTGACATAAATCCTCCAAGGTGAGCGAAGTTGTCAACATGTGGAAGGATCCCAACAGCTAAGTTGATGACAATGATCATAACTAGAGTCAAGAGTGCTGCAAACTGATTTTTTTTCAAAACAAGAACAGAATTAGAAACATGGAATATGGAATGAGTTGTGAAAATACTGCGTATATTTTAGAATCAACCTTGTTCTCATATATCGTCCAATTTGTTATGAGCTCTGACAGCATCGAGCCCAATAGTCCAAATAGTGCACCTGACGCACCGACAGATATATTTGACACCATAAATAGAGAAGACAGCAAGCTGCCACCAACACCAGAGATCACATACAGTGTACCAATCCTTACTGCAACAGACAATCATCAATCAATGGTCAAGTTATAGGATAACCAGGCCTTGAAATAACCGTCAGACTCCAGATAATAAAGATGCATTGTACAAAGATGAAGAATCTGTTTTCCTAAAAAAAAAAGACAATTACTGAAAGTTTCTTTAATCGAACCAGACAGGGACACTTACTGAAACCAAATTCCTTCTCGAGCCTGATTCCGATCATCAAGAGACTCAACATGTTAGCGAGTATGTGGACGACTCCAGCATGCAACCAAATGCATGTAATGAGGCGCCAGCCTTCGTGATCTTTGGTAACTTTACTGGTTTCCAGTGCCCCCATTTCCAACAGCCTGGGAAACAAAACATGTTAGATGAACCTTCAAGCAACCAAGATTATAAAAATAAGCACGAAATTGATGTACTGCCTCCCGAGGGCATAGTTAGCAATAAAAAATTATCGATGGTGAAAAGTGATCCTTAATACATTATCAAACAATAAGGTTTAACAAGGTTATACTATACATTGTCATACCAATCGAGGATCTAAAAGTCAGCACATTTCACAAAATCTGCACAGTTTCTCACATACTCACAAGTCACAATGCATATATACATCTAAAGCAATAATGTAAACCGAGCAAACTGCAGAAAGATCCAAATTTCGGACAGATTTGAATATTGCCGTACGTGGCGGAGGAAGGGCCGACGAGCGGGTTCTCCTTGAACGACTGGAACGCGAACCTCCCGAGCTCGGGCGCGAGCAAGCAGCCCTGCGCGGTGGCGCTCTCGCCGACTGATCCCCCTATCGCGGCGCCGGTGGCCCGCGCGTGCGCGGGGCAGTCGTTGACGTACATGGTGAGCACGAAGAGGACGATGTTGGCGACGATGAAGAGCGGCACAAGGAACGGGAACCACCGCCGGAACGGCCGGAACGCCGGCGGGGGCGGCGGCGGCGGGCGGCTCCGGTGCTGGCCGTGGCGGCCGTGGTGGCCGGGGCCGTGGCTCCGGTGGCGCTCGCTCTTGGGCCGCTCCTCGCCTCGCCCGCCGCCGCCGCCGGAAGCCACGTCAATGGGGACCACCGCCGTCTCGCCCCGCCGCCCCATGGCACGGCCGGCGGCGGGGGGCGCGGGCGCGTGGCTGGCTGGAACGTGGGGGTGGCGGCGCGACGAATGCGAGCGCGCGGCGCGGGATTCTGCGTGTCGGGAGGGTCGTCCGCGCGTGCTGCCTCGTGGTGGAGATGGTGGGGAGGGGGGAAGGCCGGAGGCGCGGTGGCGACCCGGGATGGAAAGGACGGAGAAGAAGAATGACCCCTAATTTTAGTGTTTCCCTATATACTGGGGAATGCTAGGACTGGGCAACACTAATCATGTTCTTAGCAGTTTTCTAATTTGAATTTGAGTTATTTTAGGCACATGTTTCAATGGTATTTCTACTCCAGATGCCGGTGTCTGACGCAGACAAATTTTATACTGGTTCTATTTCATACTTGTGTGAGTGCACACGTATGCCTCGTTCGGCTTGCTGAATCTTAGTTAAAATTTAGCTGAAATTGGCTGAAAAACGTTGTTCTTGCTGAAATGTTGTGAGAGAAAAACGTTGTTCCGACTAAAAAAAGAAGCCGAACAAGCCGGATATAGGGTAAGCCGAACGGGGTGTAGAGCAACTAGGGGGAAAAAAGGTATCGCATAGAATTTGGGAGAGACGCGATTTAAGTTTTCAATTGAAAGATGCACACATAGTCCATTCGAATCAAGCCAGAATTCGCCATCGCTTTCTTTTGCGTACTCGCTGATAGGAAACCACTGCCTACTATCAACTCCATTAACCGCTACGAAACACAAATAAAGATGGGCAAACCACCATGTCGCTGTCAATTAACGACTTGGTCCAACTGCCTTTCCTTTACGTACGTGACATAGAATATCCCGTTCAGATAGATTTGCGTGTCCGCATCAAGCTGCATTTGGTAGAGTCTGAAAAAGACCTGGCAAGCCATGGTCCATCCAGGGACACTACACACCATACTGATCTTCCTTTCAACAATTGGCAGCATGTGGTCAACTTTAAGGTTTGGTTTCGGAACATCTTCGACATTATTTTATCTAACATCATCTAGTTACTAATGGATCAAGTGTTCAGTAACTCACATTACCACAAATAATGAAACCTGTTATGACAGTAATAGCACAACCAGATAAGCCTGAGCACACTACCTTCCAGTCAAGCAGCAAGATGAAGACACTTGAAGAATTACCATTTATCAAAATTGAGTTACAGTTTGGTAAGCACAATTAATCATTTGTCGCACTCGCACTATGTTTCGATTTGTCACAAGACATAACTTTCTTCAGGTACAAACAATCGAACTTCAACCCAACTCAAAATACAGCCTGATCGGATCTAATTGTAACTCATAATAAGCGTGAGAAATATTTATACAATATAAAGGCACCACTCTGCTTGAAAACCACCATATTTATTGCACGCTCATAGTAGAAGCCTCTGCAATAGATAGTGCCCAGATCATCCGGTTTCTGAAGCACAGATGTTGCACCCTACCAGGCAAGAAAAATACTTGGATAAAATATCCAAGCAATTATTGATGCGAGCTGTTTGCCATGGGATGGTGGTAGGATGCTTCATACTAATTCAGCAATCCCTGCAGGCACCGTATCATGTGCAGGGCACTGCTGACTGCAGGCGCCATAGTGGGTGATCTACAGGTACTTGATCATGCCACGGCCTTCCACGCTGAGTTTCGACGCCTGAAGGTTTTTCTTCTTGGGAGCTTTCAGCTGCTGCAATTTCTTGTTCATCTGCGTGTCCAACGAGAAGAATCAGCTATTGCTCAGTTGGTCCTACTTCAACAGTTAACAAGCAAGAAAGAACCCTAGCTAGCTTATAAAGGGAGACAAAGCCAAGGTGTTTTAAAAGAATGAAAACCTTCAGCCGACGCTGGTCTTGGACAGCCTGCTTAGCACGAGCTCGTATCTGCTCAGGGTCAATTTTGGACTGTGGACGAATGACAAAGTCCAAAGGCGAGGCTTCTGGCCTAGAAGCATGCTGCCTTGAACTACTTTGCCCAGACTTGCGTCTAAATACAAAGCATAGATAGAACAGATTAAACTAACAATTAGGAAATGGTGAAAACATGCACCTGTGCATCCAAGGCCAAACAAATATGATTGAACTTACTGTGAAAAGTCAGCATCAAGATCATCATCTCTGGATTCCATTCCAGAGCTACTCGACGAAGGTCTTCATGACAAAAGGATAACCAATAAGAATACAACATAATATACAGGACAAGAAGATATAGTCCTCAAATGGCCCATAAGTGCACACACTTACTTCTTCATTTGTGGCCGCCTGTAAGGTGCTCTTTCATCCTCATCATATCTCCTCATGTCCTCAAATCTTGTGCTCTTGTTGAATATTGGTCGACTCTGATTTTTTTACAAGTATGAACTAAGAACCCTTCACAACAACAAACACAAAAACATATGTGGATACTGAAAACAGACTTACCCATTTATCAACCAGCTCCTTAGCCAATTTCTTATTTGCAGTAGTCTCCTCGTCAGATTTGGACAAAAACATAATGACCTAAATATGCACCATTGGATAGATTTAGCGCATAGCAAATAATCTTCTGTAAAATAATATATCATCAGGACTGGTATAAGAATACCTTTCCCAGGCCACTTTTCTTAAGCTGCTCTCTTCGGTCATATTGTTCCAAGTCAATTGGAAACTGCAAGGGGCATGAAACTTTCATTAGCAACCAAATTCCAAGCCATCCAAAAATATGTCACGGACAACTACGCTCTTGTGCAAAACAAACAAAGTCCTACAATGCAAAAAGGCCGAAGGAAATAAAGATGCCTACATCAGTTAATAATTTCAGTACAGCAGATCGAATATTCATGTTTGGCATGCTTCCGTCAGGTAATGGTTCAAGCCAATTTTTTAGAAGAGTGAGAACTCCATGGTCAAGAAATTCCTGCTGAAGATTCTTCCTGTGAAACAGAGATAAACAAGAAAATATTACTGTTAGCTATAAACAAATGACAATGTGCACTGGCAGTGGCACTACAGGTAAGATTCCAGATATCTTACTTGGAGAGAACATCTATGAGCAGAGGAAGCTTCATAAGTTTATTAATGGCTGGCTTTGATTGCCTATTCAAGTTCGCATCTTCTTCGGCTGCTACCTCGAACTCGGCAATGAATTGTTCCACTATAAGACCAATATCTGCACGAGGGCGATCATTCTTCTTCTTCTTCTTACCACCCTTGAAGAGTCGCTCAATTTCATCGTCCTCACCCTCCTCAGCCTATAGTCATCAACCCATATTGTCAGTGATTAAAAAACAAAACAAAAGATAGCATATGGCATGGTGCAATGGCCCAGAAATGAATAGACATATTCGACCCAACAAGGGCCTATTGCGACCATGGTTTTAGATCAATGAGGATTAAACTCCAAAGCTGCTATGAAAGGATGTCTAACACCATACTTCAGTTAATAGGGAACAGCAACCAATTCTCAGGTCAACGAATATTGTCAATTTGCCACTAGAGTGACTGGCATGGAACACAACCAAGAGTAAGACATAAGATACAATGAACCAACAGACATTTGTTTAACCTGTATGACAATTCAACTTAAAGAATACAAAAAGATAATGCTGTAAGGCACCTGAACAATTAAGAAAAAAATACCTGTGCATAACGTCCAGGTGAATGCCGCTCATTATCGCTGCCATAACGATCAGCTGGATCAACCCCAGTGTCATCAATGAAATTATCATCGTCTACAGTTCTAACACCTTCTTGGTCATCCTGTTCCATCAGATTAGAATATCATGTCAGTGAAGAGCATTAGTCTGTCCAAGACAAGCGGCGTCAGACCCCCCCTCCATTTGAGTCAACTAGGCGTTTAAGGCGTGTGGTAAGGCGATGCCATACAAACAACTTAATATATAGTGGTGCTAACATTCAGAAGCAAACCGTACCTTAATATTGGGAGTTCTTATAGCATGTAATACCATAATTAGTGCTACCAGAGTGTTAGTGCACAATATAATGTCGCAAAATATAGCAAATCTGAAATCTCTCATCTCTCAATAGCAACAAATTAGTCTCTAATGGCATAATATAACTTAATGAGGTAGTGCAGCTAGTGCAAAACAAATATAAGTAGCATAAGTGCAGAGGAGAGGCAGGAAAGAAACAGAGGAAGAGAAAGAAAGCAGAGGATACGCAGACTGCCGAGCGTATCCAAGTAAAGAGCAGAGGCAGTGCACATCCAAGAGGAGGGTAGCCGAAGGGAGAGGAAGAGATGCTTACGTACCTATCCTGTGACCTTATGACGCCAGGTTGAATACAGGAACCAACAGAGAAGGGAAAGGGACCGTGTATCAATCAGCATAGGAGGACCAGAGGAGGCACCAATCAGGGGCACAAATTAGTGGAGAAGATGAAGGGAGGCTCAAATCCACGGACAGAGGCGTTAATCGATGGAGCAGAAGAAGTGGAACAGCAGGATTCTAGCAGTGCACTGCCAAGAACCAGGTGTGCGTCTTCTTCCATTTCCCCTTCCATGTCAATTGGCGAGTGGGAGAGATGGGTTATGGCCTCGTGGGACCTGTAGGCGCACAATTTCCACCGGCGCGTGACTCCTGTCGGTCGTGACACCTGCACCCGCTCCCGCGCCCATTTTTCCCATGTGCGCAGCTCCTCTCCCACTTCCACGCCCGTGGTCATGCAGTGTCTGCCTCAGGCCGCTCGGGCCTTAAACAGCACCAAATCGCACCTAGGTAATGACTTCTGTTGCAATACGTACGCCATAGCCCGATTGGTCGTGGCAAGGCTGACGCCCAGCCTGGAAACTCGACTGGACGCCAAAGCAATGCCTACGTGGCGACTTAAAAAGCATGATAACAAGGTCCAATGGTCTGACTTGATATGCACCAACATTTTACACAACCATACTGATGCCTTAGTAAGCAATTGAATATACTTTAGCTATCTTTTTTATCTGCCTAATTTTTTTTTTGGAACATACCTCGCGAGTCCACTACAGCAGTTGATAGAGGTT